TGACACCTGTAAACTGTGTCCATTGTCCACCTCCCACTGCACCCACACCTGGGAACAAAGCAGCTGCTCTTCTGGCAGAGAGGAGATGGATGAGAGTTTTCAGTCTGCCTGGACTATTCCTCACTGGCATCCGGAGACAATGGGAAGATGCATGGAGCACTCCCTTCCTTGGACAATTGAGCACACAGACAAGTGGAATGTCAAAGCTCTCTAATCTATTGCCTCCATCTCCCAGTCCTTTTCCCCACAGTGGCATAGCTGAAATAATTTGGCTACTCTTTTGATACCCAGACAGCACAGAGATAATTGCTGTTTATGCACCAGGTCTAGCAGCCCCAAATAGAACAAAACATGATATCCACATTCCTCTTTCTTCCCCCATCTTCCCAAAACTCTCACTTAATCAGCTCCCCAAGGACATATGATAAAATGACCTGGAGGTGAAGGATTCTCATTACTGACAGAATTCGTCTGGTTTTGACTAGTTTAAAATGTCCTCTCTCCTTTTTCCCTAATTGCACTATTACCCTGTCATCATGCCTTTCATTCCCCATCTCTAACCAGATCCCCTGAAGTGCCTCAGGTGAGGGCCTGAGCTGGATTCTCATGTATCTCCTTATCTTAAGGGTATGCTGTGCTTGGCCCAGTCAGTGTCAGGTGTCTGTTCAGCACAGACCTCCCACTCTCCCATTCATAAATGGGCAGAATACAACATCCTGAAATTTCACACTTGATCAAAACCTGTTTGGGGAGAAGGTGGGTTACATGAGAACGACCAAGTTTTAGAGGTCACTGGTATCTATGACAACTATTTGTTTTGCTTTCCTCCTCCAGCTGTCCCCTTTGCCTCCACCAGCACTGCACCAGACTTTGAGAAGTCTGAAGATGCTCCCTGTGACCTCTTCTCAGGAACATACAATCACAATTTCATTTCCTCAGAGGGCTGAAAACACATTGCTAACTATTTATATTATCATTTATTGATAGTTATTTATAGAACTTACCTATACACTTTCAGCAAGTGTACACTTTTCCTTTACACTTTTAGCAAGTCTAATATATTGTTGGATATCTATTAGCTTTATGTATATAAAATACTAACTATATCTATGCTAATATATCCAGGTTCAGCTATTAAAATGTAACTGCATTATAAAATGAGATTACAGGAATGAGTGGGTGATATTTATAATAGAATCAACCAGGTTGGAAAAGACCTCAAAGATCATCAGGTCCAACCCTACCGTGGTTACTAGACCATGGCACTAAGTGCCACATCCAGTCTCAGCTTGAAAACCTCCAGGGATGGTGAATCCACCACCTCCCTGGGCAGCACATTCCAATGCCTGAGCACTCTCTCCTCTCTATGAAAAAGTCTCTTCCTAATATCTAGCCTATGACAGACCATGTGGGCAACGGGCACACATGGTTGGCATAGTGAACTGAGATAAAAGAATGAAAATATGGAAGCTGACTCCTAGGTAATTAGGAAACTGATGAAAAAAAACAAGCTTAAAATGAAAAGATTCTTGGCTTTCCGTGTTTCTGTTGAGAACAAAGCATTTTAATAGTCTTCTTGACCATGCACACTACTTTTAAGAGTTAAAACAGTTTGTTCCTTTCTTAAACCAATGCAATTTTCTTTCTCTAGGGTAAAGAATGCTTAGAGAAGTTTTATTATTTTTTTTAAACCTGATTAAGTCTTGGACTCTGCTGTTGAAAGCTTCCACTTGTGAGGATTTACTCTTCACTTCCTGTAGTATCTTCAGTGCAGTAGAGTGGCTGTTTCCATCTGGGAAGCTGGAGATTAGACATCTGAAAATCACAGCAGTTATCCTCAGAAGTCCTGTTGTTAAATCTTCAAATACCTGCTTATTTACACTTCTGCCTGCAGTAGCATTATGGTCATCTGGAACACTGACCTAAGGAAAAAGGAAAAAAAAACCAAACAACCAGAACTGAATAAAAACAAAGCTCATAGAGAAGCATTTAGAAATCTGCCAAGGTGTACAGCAAAACCAAAATTAAGTAAAATACCAGCAGTGCTGATGGACATTAAAGCATTTCAGGTACAAGAAAAAGTAATGCAGATAATCCAAGCTGGAACAGAACCAATCAAGTCAAAACAACTTAGTGTCTGTGAACTGGAGGAAGTCTTAGAGCAGCAGAGCATGTCATTAGTATCACTGTGTTCTTGTGCATAAAACATCAGCTGATGACCACTGCACTTGTCTGTCAGAGGTCACTCACTGGTCAGCCACATCAGAAGCACAATGGGCAGTTCTCTCTCAACACACCTCAGAGGAGTCTCATGTCTTAAATCACTAAACTGCAGCCCAGCCCTGGAAGAGAGAGGTTGAGCTGTACAGCACATCGATCTGAAGAGAAATCTACCTGCAGTATGCAGATCTGAAAGGAAATCCTCATGGAGAGTTTTAAAAATGATGTCATTTTTTCATTTCTGCTGTCCAAGGTAAGTTAAGCAGCTGGAATCGTGCCCAGTGGTGACCAAACAGTGAGTGCAGCCTGTATGGAAGTCCTGCAGTGTCACAGGCAGCACAGATGCATCAGTAGAGGCTCAGGGCCCTGTGGTACCTGCCCAGTGCCTCCTGCTGCTGTTCCACACACCACACACCTCTCTGGGGCCTTCAGCTCCATCATCAGGGATCACTATGGGCTGAGATGTTATGTTTATTCCAGGTTAAAATCATTTGCACTTGGTATAGGCAAGTGAGGTCAGAGAAAACTCTGCCTGCCTGTGTAGGTATCAGGAGGGATTTGGTAACACTTGGTGACAAAGAACAACATGCACATTGCTGTATTATTCATTAGCTCTGAGCCTTGTGCTGGTACTTAAAACTCATTGTAATAGTCTGTTTCTGGTGCTGAGCCAAGAGAGCAAGTGAGAAGTCTTCAGCTGCTTATTCAAGTTCAATAGGAAAAATAATACTATGTTGCTCCAGTAACTTTTGGTGGCTGAAGTAATTCCTGCCCAATGACTCCAACTGCCACTGAAACAGTGGATTGAGTTTTGCAATGTGTCAATCAGTTTCAATGTGACAACTTTGTGCTAGGAACTAGAAACTGCTAACAAGAGCCACTCACTGCTTTTTCACCTCAGATAAAAATTACAGATGCTATTTCTTAAGAGATTTAATAACACTTTGCAGCAGTCTTCCATTCCCTGCAATGAACAGGACCATGAGCAGGTACTGACTATTTTTATCTTCTAGTTCAACTTACCTACGAGAATTATATTTGCTCCCTTAGCTATAAAAGTTCATGCTTTAAAATAAAACTGCTCTTCCCAATTTGTAAGACAAATAGATCTGGCACTTAACTGAATCATTTACTGCAGAGCTTCTTTTTCACACTGTTTGGGGGAAAATGTGTGTGTTAATATGACATGAGAACAAATGTGGTTTTCTATATTGTGCTTTCCCTCTCAAAGAAGAGAGAGAAGGAAATACTGTTTTACAGAAAATGGGTAAATTTGAATTTAATTCCTTCACTATTTTCCTTTTATACTAACTCAAATGAGTGACAAAAGATCAGCTCTTTTCCTGAAGAAGTAATTAATGGGATAGTGTGAAAGTGTGCTGAGATTTATGGTAAGAATTAATTGGGGTGCTTGCAGAGGCAAAATTAATTGGGGTGCTTGCTTGTTGGTTATTATATCAAGCAAGGGGGGAGGAAATCTTGAGATTTCATAGTGTAATTATGAAAGCTTTCAGGCTCTGGTTCCTTTGTGTTGATTACACAAGGAGTTAGTGACATTCAGAAAAACTGTTGGATGGGTTAAAACATCCCACATTTCTGAGGTTTAACTGACACCAATCTCCAGGTATGATTACACACTTAAACTGATTTGTAGAGTACTTGGTGTAAAACATTCTTAAATCACATAGGAAAATCAGGAAAAATCCAACTATTGTCTAATTATTTGACACCAACAACATCCCAATGCTATTTCACCTTTTTGCTGAGGCCCAGGCAGGCACCACAGCCTCCTACTGGCTTTAAATCAGCCCTTGGATCAGAACACTCTGGTGACCACACTCGGCTCTGCTACAGTCTCCACACAACTGTTCAGCTATTCCTTAGAGAATTCCCCTTGTAGGGATTCCCATGCTTGTGTGAAGCTGCCATAAGCTCTTCAGCTCTGCCCAGCATCCAGGGCTTAATCCTGTAAGATGCTGCACAATATGGCCCCAATCCAGTAAAGCACTTAGGCACACATTTAATATAGCTGAAAATGTTACTCCGTTCTGACTCACATCACCAAAATATCTCTGCAGAGCAGAGCAGGTTTTTGTCTGTGCTAACAGAAAACACCAGTTTCTAGCTAGCCATGTAGAGCTCTGTTAGACAATTCATTGATGTTTTTGTCTTGTAGAAAGCACAGTCCTTCACAGCCATGAAGAGACTTCAAACCTTTCGGAGCACCCAATTTCTCTTCATCTGGGCACTTGTTTTGTATTCCCCTCCCATTAACAGTGGTGATTTTGTGTTTTTGCATGTGTAGTTATTGGACTTGCCTCAAAAACACTCTGAAAAACCTAGATTTTCAAAACAGTATCAGCAGGATGTCAGATTTTCTGTGGAGTAACCAGTGAACTAAGGAAATGGCAAAGGCCCAGGAAGTACATGGGCTTGGGATGGTGCAGGTGAAGGTTCTACTCCTTAAATTCCCTACCCCTAAATACTTTAGCATGTCATTACTTCTACTCCAGCTCTATTTTCAGCAATTTCTACTCTCCATGTGGTCTTGTTATGAGAGTCCCAGAGCCCTACCAGTGCCACACAGCTGATATAGACACAGATGTAACTTCCAAACAGACCAGAAGAGCCAAGAAGCACAAATGTTCTTGGATTTCACAATTCTTGGCCTCAGCAGAGCAAATATGGCTCTGCCTTATCTGCTGCAGTACAGAAGATGAAAACACTGACCACAAATGGTTAAGAAATAGCAACTGTGCTAGGATGTCCATTGTCACTCTGAAGGACCCAAATGGAATGGCAACACATTCCAGTGAAGAAATGGAGGAGAAAAATTACTTCCCTGTGACTAGACAGCTAGATTAACTTAAACCCAGTAAAATTTCATAGGCCTTTTATGCACAAGACAGTCCAGATTTAAGCCCTGTATTTTGGAGAAGAAAAAAGTTCTAAGCACTTTGCTTTTGATGTCTGCATTTGTTTGATCACTACTTAAACTGTAGCACTCATTGCACATGTCTTCACATTCACAAATGATGATTTAGGTTTTTCAGATACTCTGCATTTAAAGACTGCCCTAAAAATAATCACAGTGATCTCTTGTGATATCATACAGACAGACATGGTTTATATTTATGGCTCTTCAGATATCTTCATGGAAAGTATGTGACAACTCACACTGGCCTGGAAACAAAGGCCCCAAACTGAAAAGCTAACCTTCCATGCTTACAGCTCCTTCCATTACTTGGTTTTGTCAGTGTGAAACCTTCCAAAATATACAACTGGAAAAGCTCTCATTGTTTTGCAACTATCTTCTAGGTCCAGTAGACCAAGAAGAGCAGAGAGAACAGGCTGTAAAGACATGAAGTTACAACTGGAGCACAAGGAACATGAATGCAGGAGGGAAGGTCTGAGCCACTGAGCATGGAAATCATCACTGCTGACCTCAGCTGACACCGACTTAGGCATTACCTGAGCTAAGGAGGCTAAGGAAGGTAAAATGGTAAGCAAAGTCTACACAAGGTTTCCTACCAGTCTGTTTAGGCAGGAGATAAAGAAAGGTCTCAACAGGACACTTCAAATGATTAACCTGTGGATGTCACAAAACGAAGGAGGAACAATGTCCATTTGTTACAGCCATTTCCCACTGGCACTTCCATTGGAGAAATGACATATTTATAGTACTACGAGCAATATTTTGAGGAGAAAAATGTTACACCTCTAAAGAGAAAAATGAACAATTTTTCTCCACTGAAAAGTAATTGCTTGAAATTTTACTCTTTGAAATGTAGAGCTCTGAGTTTTGGCAAAGGTGAAGCTGGTGGATGAATAAAACCCAAACCAGACACACATTAAAAGACCTGGAAATAAGGTTCATACTGGATGTACTCAAGATTACACTGAAACGTTTCTCAAAACTGGATTCTCTCTGTTTCTGTACTCAGCAAATATTGGCACGGTCGTTAAATAATTTGTTAAAATCTTGCAAATATACATGTTTCTTTATTACCCCTGGTACTACCTGGGCTTGATTTTCCAGCAGTAAGGGGAAATCCACACCCATGGGCAAAGGCTGCACCATGCAGCTCACCAAAGCAGGAAAACTGGAGGCAGTTAAACTCTTTGGAGAGGTAAATGTTAGTATTTGGGTATTTGGAGCTGCTCTCAGTTTGTCCATTTCTTTTCCATAGAAAAGAAAAATTCAAACTTGATCTGATTTATGACATTTTCAAGAGAGAAAAATCAGGGTTAGAAAAGCAGCTCTGTACTTGGGTTTTGTACTCAAATACCTACTTCATGGAACTATGAAGATACCCTGGTTTAAGGGCCAATTTTGCCTGCAGAGAACATAAGGGACTTTATGCCTAGGAAAGAGAAGTCCACTGTGGATCATGGGAAACATTAATTACAGTTTTGCTGCCATTCAGGGGTAGTATTTGGCAACAGACTGAAAACAGCTCTAAGCATAGTAAATTTTCCTTCCATAGTATCTCTGAGCTCTAGGTGGCCAACTCTGCCTAAGAAACACTCTCTGTATTCCTGCAGGAAAAGTGCAGGTTGTTCACACAGCACTACACGGGCAGAAGGGAAGGGCTTTGGCACCAGAGCAAATCTTGCCACTGGTGAAGTGCTGCAGGATTTCACCTCTGGTGGAATCACCCCTGAGTGTGTGCTCTGCTGGCTCTGCAGAGCTGTCACTGCCCAGCACAGCACACACCTTCCTCCAAGCACACCTGGAACCTCACACCTGCAACCCTCTTGGAAAGGTTGGCTGAGGAACAATGAGCTGGCAGCTACTGAGGAGAGAAAGCCCAAATGCAACCTGTGCTTTCTTTGTGTCAAGGAGCTTTGGACTATCTTTGAAAGTGTTCATCAACAGCCCCATGGCTTGTTGATTCCAGCAGCAGCACTTGAATTATTAACAGTATGTACATAACTTTTCAATTAACAAACTGCTTGGCTCATGAAAATACACACACACAATTTATAAGTAGAAAACCAAGACTAAATATCTTATGATGAGCAGGTCACTATGAATTAAAAATGAGTTTGCAAATAAAATATTTAATGACGTTTCAAATTAAATGAAACATTGGAAAATTAAAACTTTCATAGCTAAAGAGTCCTGCTAGTTAAGCACTTCAGCAAATCAAACTGCAGCAACGTATTGACCTGACTTAGATTCCTGACACTGGAACAAGTCAGAATCAAACACACATGGACAACTCCTAATATTCTTATCCTTTTAATATCCCTACGGTGTGAATGAAAGAAAACAACCTCAGAAAATGTTAAGGCTAGAACAGTGTTCACTCACTAGAGCTCCTGGTACAAATGCCTTTGCAGAATATATTAGCAGAAGCAAATATCTCCATTTCTACAGCATATAGCAGCTACAGTCACCAAAACACATACAATGGCAATCTTATTCTTTCCAGCCTTTATTCCCTCTTACCTCCTGGTGTTCTTACACCCTGAGTACTCTAACCTGCTTGTGAAGCACAAAACCATTTCTGAATGACAAAAGCTGCTTTACATACCATAAACTGGTGTATCAACAGGTCCATCAGAAAAGTGATCTTATTGCTGAAGAGAACATAGGTGCAGTTTTCTGCACAGTTGCTGCAGGCGAGGCTGTAAACATTCACTGCACTGCACAGGGACCTACAAAGTCAGAAGGGAAGAAAAGGAAACCCAAGAATTTTACTTTCTTTTTCTTTGGCAAATTAAAAGCAAATAAATGGCAGCACATCACAGAACAACCTGGCAGCAATTCTTCACATTTGTTTCTTCACCTTGGGATTCCAAACAGAACTAATACCTTAAATGAAGTTAATTTGACTCATAACTTCAAAGCAGTAAAGCCACACTTAGCTGAAGTCATGCACTGGATGGGTACTGAACCCTTGTGTTCAGAGCTCATAGCCAAACTCACACAGAACATCAGCCAATTTCATAGTTTGGATATGGAATATTATTATTTGTGGCTTATAGCTACAGCACACAATTAACTCAGGGCTAAGGTCCCTTACCTGGCATGACCTGCACAACACAAACCCTGTAGGAAGTAACACAGCCATTCCCAGCACACCAGCACTGGCTTTAGAGGGAAGTTCACAGCTCTGCTGTGCACTAATGGAAGGAATGGGGATGACTGAGTTACCAAGCAAAACCCACCAGATGAAATTCCTGCCTGAAAATTCTCCTGACATGCTGCAAACCACAACTGTCCAGAGCCTCAGAGTGTCAGTGCACAGTGAGAGCAGCACCCACTGCCCTACACCTCTGGCTGCTGGGAAGGGGGGATAGAATTGCTGCATTAAGAGCACAAAACCACAAGCACATGCCCAATTGTTCTTTGCACCACGTGAAGTAATTTCCATCTGCTCCAGCTCAAGTGTTCTTCTCCAAACAGGATTTGTGGGGACGCTGGGACCAGCCCTACAGAATATACTCACAGAGGAGATTCATCTGACCACAGAGAATCCTAGATCAGAATAAACAACAAATTCATTTCTTGAGCTCTGCTTACTGCAAAAGCTTTCCCTGTGACTACACAAACAGGCACAAGGACACACAACACAAATGCATCACAGATATATACAACAATAAATACAGATGGCTAGAGACATTCAAGTTGTTTGGCTGAAGGAAACCAAAAGGAAAAGAACTTTTACTTTGTTGGGTTTTTTTCAACATGTAAAAAAAAAAGTGACTAAGTTCAAATAAGCTTCATAGAAGAAAATAAATTGTGAGCACTGCTGAAAGGTCACAGAGAAGTGGGACTGAACAAACACCAAGTTATCATACCCAAACCATCAAAGCTGGGATCTAGCAGAGCAAGCTGCAGACAATTCAACAGACTTCTAGATTGAGTTTTAGGTTTTATCTTTCTCCTAAAATATTTTTTGAAACAACAAAATCATTTACACAACAAGGAAGGCTGATTTACTGCCTGTTTACTGCCTGCTGTGCTCACTGCTGAAATGGAGCAGCTACACACACATACACTGTCCTGCTCGTGCTGAGAGAAGCTGGAAATACTCAGAGAAAATTCGAGTAAATTTTTTTTCGTTTGTATGTCTGGATTGTCTTCTCATCAGCTGAAGAAATAACTTTGAATTTAGAAACAAAGTGAACGAACATTTATACTTTTCTTCCTTTTCTGAGTATCACCATGTTACAGTTACACTAATTTTACTGTACTGCTAATTAAATCCACCCTACTGCCTAATTAAATCAGTTTCAATCTGCACTTCACATGCTGTGAAAACAATATTAAACATTTATTGGCCAAAGGCAGGGGAATTTTCATCTATTTCACCCAACTTTTACCCTACAAGGGTAAGTTTATTATGTACTTACTATTACTATTTATTGTACATTTATTACTCCTACAAGGGGTAGAAGTTGTACATAATTCAAGCAGATGCTTCACATGCATTTATTTAGATCTGCCTTGCAACACAATTCTCTTTTCCTTTCCTGACTACACAAAGGTATTTATTTCCTTTTCCTCAATAATGCTGAAAAGTATTTTCATTAGGCACCTATGTCTGTGCCTTTTCTGGAAGGTTATCCCTCTGTGTAGGTGTGTTTCCAGGGAGAGATGAGACTATATTGGCAAGATGCTGAAAAGATGCTTTAAATCAGCTTCTGTCCAAATTTTATCAGCTATTCTAAAAAATCAAGATCAATTCTATTTAAATATAAACATCCTAATTCATCCGAAAGTGTCAAATATGAACCTGCAGGTTAATTTCGACAGCATTTCAGAGTTCTGAGGTGATTCAGTTAAATCGCTGCAATAAATGCTTTTTGATATATGGGATTCCTAATTCCTGGGAGGATCATTTATTTTACATTGGAACACACAAACTTCCCACTTTATCTAACGAGCAAATCCTGCTGCACTAACGCGCTGTGCTCCTGGATCTCCCAACTGAACCTCCTGTCAGAGCAGCACTCGCCTTCCCAGAGACTCCAGTAATGCATTTGAAAAGGTGCTGTAAGCAAATGGATGTCCAATTAATTTTTCACTACAATCAAGAGGGTCCATTTAATTGATACCATCAGCTCGCTGAGCACGGCGCGCGCCCAACGCGGCGTCGCTTCGCCTTCAGCCTGAGGAGTGTCAGCACAGAAGTGTCCCCAGGTGGTTCCCAGTGTTAAATGGCAGATTAAAGGCAGCACAACTAATTTCTTTACTTTAATCTTATTAAGGGAACAACAGCTGTCAACTGTCACCATTTCTGTGCGAGGCTGCAGAGACGAGCGCAGAGCTGCGAGCGGCAGAGCCACAACTTTGTTTAACCGCACGCCCAACTCTCCGGAGCCAACGCTCCGCGCGTTCCTCCGCAGCTTCCTCCCGTGGGGAAGCTCCTAACTGCTCTCAGCTCCCAAACTCTTACCTCAGGAGATCTCCACCTCAGCCAGAAGCCTAAGGCATGAGCTCACGTAAAGCAGGTGGTTATTGATTACTGGTGTTGCTCTAAACTTTGGCTCACACCCACAAATCAGCTTTAGGGCTCTGCCAGGCAGCGAGCACACTGCAGCCCCAGGGCAGGGCAAATCCAATTATAAAAACACTCATTAGGGAACACAGACTCCGAGCCAAACCAGACAAAAATATACATCTGCGTGTCGTATTTATTTTACATTGAGTCCAAAGAAAAGGAGGAGGATTCGTTTCAGCCAAGGTAGGTCTCAACAGTTTACGTGTCTGCGCATGGTTTTCTTTAATGCTAGCACATCTTCACTTTCCTCAATGGGCCTCATGTAAACAACCTGACAAGCTTTAACTTTTATTAACATACTGAGGCCTCAGCACCATGCAGCCACACAGACCTGACCCACCACAGTGCCCCAGCACATGGAGCAACAATTCAGCTTTTGCTTTCTGGAGATCAGGGCATCACTGACACCTAACAACAAACCTGTCTCAAGTGTGAAGCTCTTCCATGTTACCCACAACTTCTGAAGGTTCCTAATGAATGCAATCTGATTATCAGTGAGGAAAACAACTCAAAAAGCTCAGTTTGGAGAGAAATAATACAAACCTAAACCTTGTCAAATTTAGGATGTGTTAATTCGGTAAACAGCAGCTCATTTGTAACCAGCAGGACTATTATGCAGCACCATGATGGGGAAAGTGCCCAGCATTGGTAATTCAATCTGAGTTGCAAATAAGTGGGAGGTGAGCTGTTAGTGACCAATGGTGCCCAGAATAGCTGCAGAGTGGAATGGTGAAAGGATGTGCATTGGAATAGACAAAGTCTACCCTAAATTAATAGACAAAGGACAGAACTCAGCACCAATTCTGCTCCAAGACACTTCCAAAACCAGCCTGGAGCTCCTCCTGAAATGCTGCTGTGTTTAGGCACAAACTGTTGCATGACACAGGAAAAACAAGTAATTCACCCCAATATTTACAGGTGTGATAGAACTAGAAAATCTTCTCCCCAACTCTCCAGCCCCTGGCTCATCTGCAAGGCCTGGTCTCAATCCAAAAGTTTTCTAACCTCCCACAGAGCTTTCAACAATCAAACACCTTCCTGAACTGCACATGAGGGCAACATTGCTTCACTCTCGAGCTCTGACAGCCTCAAACCCAGCTGAGACAGACACCAGAGCACATCATGGGGACAGACAGGTGCTGCAGGTCTCAGATGTTGGACTTGCAGTGGTCACTCACTTCAGAGTGTCTTTATGTCCTTGCACCAACTGCAAATTTTCAAGGAATATTTCTCAATACAGAATGACCTTACAAGAAAATAAGGAAGTCTGTCCTGCATTTTATGTAAAAAAATTGCAAACTAGCCTACAAAACTGCATGAACAGTAACAGAGCAGCTTGAGAAGTGCATGTCATAAACCCAAGTAAAATTACAGGGAATAAGCCATAGAACCAGTTCCTAGTTCAACACAGTTCTTACTGAAAAGCAATTTGTATCAATGCCATCCATGACATTCTGGAGGCACTATTTTCTGGTTTTATAGACATAATTATGGTTTGAGCTTTTTTTTAAATCCTGCTAATATTTGCTTTAAAAATGATGCAAAGAATTGTATGAGTATGGAATATCCATTATAACAAACCTGACTTTAATCACATCTTAACTTGTGACTAAAGTCTTCACTTGGTCCTTACACAACTGCTGCCAACTTCTGGTTTAAAATCCTGCAAAAGGGGCTAAAGGAGTTGCCCATAGCAAAGGTGCAAGGCAACCCAGAGGATGAGACTCCTCTCCTGGGCCCGATCTTGAGGCATTAAATTGTTTTGCTGTGCAGCTCCCACTTGCTTTTCAGCAGAAATTCAGCTGAATGTGTCTTATTTTGTGGAGAATGGACCAAATTCAGGAAAATTACAAAATGCTGCTTTAAGAATAACATGGCTGGACATTGATTTGTATGTTAACACCAATAATAAAACTTACTACAACCCACTGCTTTCTCCTTCCCTTTCCAGTGATTTATTTGAAGGGGAGAAAAACTGCCCCAACACCAAATGTATCATCTGTCTCATAAATGCCACATCTTTCTCACAGCTTTTCCTACCCTGCTGCTCTACCTCCCAATCTGGACAGTGGTACAAAACAACAGGCACATTGTTAAATCTTCTGATAATAAAGCTTTATCTTGTAGACATGGGATTAAAGTTCTGAGCTGCACCATACTGCCAGGATTTTGGAGAAAGAGAGATGTAGATAATAGCCCATGTAATCTCCTCACCTACTTGTAAATAGCTTATCCTCATCACAAAGCAACAGACAAATTCCCAATTTGAGTACAAATGGTTAAAGGTTGCAAGAGCACAAACAATGTGAAGTAGTGTCCTTTAGCAAAGTGTATGTGGCTGGGGGAAGACTGGAAGGCAACTTATGAAAGGTTTTAATTCAACTTCTTTCCACAGGGCTTTGCTCTGTCTTTAAGCAGAGAAGCTGCTGCTTCACTAGACTGCAAGTTTCAGAAGTTAGGAGGTAAATGACAGTTGCACAAAAGAAAGGAAAATATTTTCAAACTTGCTTCAAAATTAACTGAGGAGAAATGCGACGAGTTTTCTTCCTCATTTAAGGAACTAAATATATTCATGATTATCCTCTGATTTTGAACATCCCTCAAACATTCTGAGTTCGAGAGATTCCTTAAATCCTTCCAGGGAGGTCACACCAATACACTGAACATGGTTACTGCCTGGTGCAAACTGCTCCAAGTCCCACCCTGTACTGCTCACCGTCAGCAGCTAAGGGGCAGATTCTGCACAAAACCAGCACAGCAAGATCACAGCAAGACCAACAGAGGATGCTCTGCATCCCCTGTACCACACCAAGATCCCTGGGACACTTCCAGCAGACTTGAGACTAAGTCAGACTCTTGCAGAAAACTGCAGGAACAGTTATAGCTTCAGAGAGCAAGATCCTGTGTCAAATTATGTGCAACTTGATGTATAACTTCCCAACTTTGATCCTTTCAGCTGCCTATACACTGGAGCTGCAATTTGCTGGGAGGCTGAATGAAATGCTGTATTTCAGGAGTGGAGCAAAGTTCTTCAGGAGATGTTTTCAGCACACAACACTGTCAGATTAGTTTATATTAATCTCCTTTCTGTCCCAGTATTTCTTTCAGAAGTACAGCTAGTGGAAAACTTGGGTTAATACGATAATGTTTAGAGAATTTTTCACAGGTGTAAAAATTCTTCTTAGAATTCAGTCATGAACAGGCTCAGGAATCTGAGAAACCAGTCACACTGGTCTGAACTGGGTATGAGACAGAGACTGTCACAGAGAGAACCTCTGAGCAGCTCTGCATGTGATTTCTGCTCCATGTAGCTGACATGGGGCTTTATTTATCAGCACCCAAGCTCCTTCCAGAACTAACACATCCTCAGACTGTCTAACCAACTTCAAACAAAATGTTTTCAGCAATGTAAACACAATGTCCTCAGACCTTCTCAACAAAGGTTGCCACAGCAAGACTCTTCCTAAAACGAAAGAACAGGGCTCAAAGCTGTATAGGAGGTGCATATGCTAAGGATTTAAAGCTCAGGTTAGCCTAGGCTTTCTGTGGGCACACAGTGCAGTCCCTTCCCCTGCATCACACCCTGACCAGGTAACTCACAGCCAGAGACTCTGCAGATGAGGAGCCCAAAGGGCCCCACTCAGGCCTGCTCACCAGTGGAGCTGCTGGGCTTGCAGCAAGTGCATTTGGCAGGAATTTTATTCTCTTTGAAACACACAGTTTAGAGTTTAAAAGCAAGTTTTCTCCTAGGTGCTTTCTCCTAGCCCTTCACACCTGTCCCAGAACATACTAACTTTCAGTTTTAACCCAAACCCTCACACTTAAATTCACACAGAAAAACAAATGCCAACAATGGGACTCAACAGGATATCTGGGATTTGGTTCCTCTTTACCAAAGCCATGCCCAGCTCTGCTCTGACAGCACCTGTGCTTCTGACTGCCTGAAAACTGCAGTGAGAGATCAGGGGAAGGAGCATGCTTTGGAGTAATCAGTCTGCAGACATTCTGCTTAGTCACCACTTTTTTTTTTAGGGATTAGACATTTAAACCCTTCCATTCTTATGTTCTATAAGGAGGAATTTCTCTAATCCACAAGAATTTTGATGTACCTGTTTGTGGGAGCCCTTTCAGCTGGCAGCATCTTAGAGCTATGCAATTGTAAAAGCAGTCAGACTCCAGTGAATTACAACCCTTTAAAAGATCCCCCTGCTTCCCACTCAGGATCTTCACAGACAGAATTCAAAAATATGTATCTCCTCTGTTTAATACAGTTCTGTACAATCAGGGATGTTGCAGATCAAATATACAATAAAATCACCCAGTTAGGACAGCACAGGGTGAGTGGAAATGTCTTTCCCCTTCCACAGCAGCACAGAGTACAGCATGATTTTTCCTTTGAAGTCCAACACAGGACTATGAGAAGAAGAGGTAATGAAGCAGCAGATGTGAAATGAATATTGTAGTGATTTCAAGTGGCAGATGAAGGACTCCTCATACTTACTTGAAGGGAACCCGTGAAACTGCATTCAGGTTGGTGGGAGCAGTCACTGTTTGGAGAACATTCTCAAGGGCACTCAGACCTCCAGCAGCCCGGAATGCTATCTTATCTGCTGTGTTCTGCAGACACAAACACAGGGGAGAAACAACAGAAATTAAAGGTATTTCTGCATAAAGGGGAGGCCTGACAGTTGTGGTTTTGTCAGTGTAGAAAGTCCTTAATACATTTATTTAGCATGTTGAACACCTTTGCAAAAGAGCATTTCGGTGCCAGTGCAGAGCAAAGAGTTTTCAGGTGCTAGTTTCTCCAAAGATGATCCATACATATCATCAGGTAATACACTTGAACATCATATTTTCAGAGAATCAGAGAATTGGAGTCTCCCTCCCTGGAGATATCCCAGACCCATCTGGACACAATCCTGAGCCATGTGCTCTGAGCTGGCCCTGCCTGAGCAGGGAGGTAGGACCAGTGACCCACGGTGATCCTTTCCAACCTGACCCATCCTGTGACTCTGTGAGACACAGAACAATTTGAAGAGCACAGGATGTGATTTGTTCTAGTCTTCTGTGAAACAGGCAATATACTTGAACACTATTTTCTGTAGTGACATACAGTTACAGGGGATTTTAAAAAAGTTCATCTTTATCTGGTGCTATTATCTTTCCAACTATATTGCTTTGCACATGATTTTAAAAATATAGACTATTTCTAGCTGGTTCTTCCTCTTTTTTACAAACTTTGCCAAAAGGAGACAATCTCCAGGCTTAGCCCTTAAGTTGTTCATTAGGTGCATAAATAGCTTAGGCAGACCAAATTGTCCTGGTACCTACCTTGAACTTACACTGAGCAGAATTTTACACTTAAATACCATTATTCTCACAGTTTGCAAATGAAGTTTTGCTGCAGCAGCTCCAGTATTTTAGAACTTAAAACCAATTTTGCAGAAAAGGAAAAGAGTGTATCTCCTACTGTTTAATACAAAGCAACATCTTCCTCTCTACTTTTAAGCTGCTAATTTTGTATAACTTTATTGGCAGTTTGTATTTCATCATCTTGATTTTGCCAATGATGATGATACTCTAGTTAATAAGAAACAACTTCCTTTTATTTTTCTTGCCAATGCTGCAAGCACTTGGCATGTGGGAAAAAATGGGAAGTGCTCTATAAACATCATTATTGTGTCTGTAAAGAACGGATTATACTGTAAGAGACTTCATAACAAAAAATTCCTAGTGACTCTGATAATGTCTTTATTTGAAGGTTAGAAAAAACCCAACTATTTAAAACTAGAAAAACAATTGAGCAGCTCCAATATGATTTAGATGGCCATTTTCTCAGAGATCAGACATTAGACACAAAAAAAAAATATATATATTGTACCTTTTTTAATCATGCAACTTTCTCTCCATGAAGCTTCTTTCAGGAAAACAACTATATTAAGCTCCAAGCTACAGAAAAAACTGTTCACAGAAGACAGAGATTCCAAAGGAAAGCTTTTTCCACAATTACTATGAAATGTCTGTAGTTTTTTTAGACTGTCAAAAGTTTTACCTTCAAAGGAACAAGTAGCCTCAAATGAATGGAAATCTTTGTGCCAACTCACCAAGCAGTTAAAAAATCAACCACTGATTTCCTACAGGCTACTTGATAAATATGATTTCTAGCAGTTAATTTTAGCCCAGGAAGTGTGCCTTAACTGAGGAGTTATTTGTGAGTTCTACTCATATATTCTTCCTCTGCTTCCTCCTGTTCCCTTCCATCTAAAAGCCTCAGAAAACTCACCTCCTTCAGCCACCCTCAGCCCCAACAAACCTTCCAGCATAAGGGGAAGGCCCAAAGAGCAGAGGAACAATCCTGCCCCAAATCAGGTGATACTGCCCAAACCTCTCAGCTCACAAACCTCCTCCTCTTCCTCCCCCAGAGCTGCAGAGAGGAGCCTGGGCCTCGCTCACCCAACCTCAGCTTCACCCTCCCAGGGAGGGAGCAGAAGTTTGGGCAGCCCAAGTGTGCATTCCCACAGCCCTGGGCAGGGTGGACAGGCTGTGGCAGCACCACACACACCCCCCAGGGCTCAGTGCTGGGACACTGCTGGTGCAGCTGCTGCAGCATGTTTGGGGCTGCTCCTCCAGTTCCAACTGTGCCCAGCACTTTCCACTTCTCACTTGCCCTATTTCTCGTGGGAGATTATGCCACAACCTATTAGCTCTTGTGGCAAGTCTTTCCTGTCATTTAGACCAAATATGCCCTTTCTGTTTCATCCCATTACTCTGAGTTACATCCCATTTATTACACTCATTTTGTTTCTCTCCTCAGCAATTTCTCCATTCTTGAAATCATACACTGCTACATTTTCCTACTTGGCTTGTTTCTCAACTATCTATATTCTTTAATGCTAAACCCAACTTCTCTGCATATATTTTTTCATGGAAACTTCTCTTATCTGTGATTTTTTTTCCCCAGAACTTCGGTTTTCTCCATAGATACCTAGTAATGAAGTTCCAGAAAGGAACTTCCCTCCACCTCCAACCAGTCACCAGAGCCACACTGAGAAGCAAGAAAGTCTCCCTACTCTGACAGGAGATCATCATGCTTCTAGTTAAATGGAACATAAATCTTTTGAGGCTGTCTGATCTCCTATGTTCTCTCCTTCAGCTTGGACCTCGACCATCACTTCTTTTACAGACAGACTTTTTTCAGAGTGCCTAGTTCACCTGTGCCTAATACTGTACTAAATACAAGTATACACTTGTCAAAATTCATTAGCTTTTGATGCTTATCCATCCTGAAAATAAATCCTTAATTATGTGCATGGAAGAGAGAGGGGAAAAGCCTTCAGTAAAAGGAAGACGCAAGCAGCAGCAGAGCTGGGGAAGATAGGTGAGAGGAGGATTTGGTACCTGTGCTTACAAAGGTCTATAAAACTGCCACGTAGAGATTATGGATACATGACTTTTGGCATGATATTTAATATGTTTATCTCCAAGGATTCTTTTAAGACAGAGAAGTCCAAGGGCTTTTAACCCATTTACTGAAAGGCAATGTTGATAGCAAAGTGCCTGTGAGTGACCTTGGTCACTGTGCAAGTGTCCTGCTGGCTGGAATTCCAGGCTCACACAGCTCCTTGAGCACGGCCTTGGGCCAGTGGAGGGCACAGGAACTGAAAGGAAAACATGCCCTGCCCACAAAGGAGCACAAGAGTCACTTGAACATTGAATTACTGACCCTTTCAGAGTGACCATGGTGGGACTGAGGCACCCAAGGAAACAGTGAACAAAGGAACTGTCCCTCAGCTGCTCTGGGTGAGACCTCAGCCTGGTGAGCTGAGCATAAAGAACACTCAGCACTGAACCTCCCCATGCTGAAGCATCCTGTCACTCTATCTCTGATGCAGCCAAATCAGATGAAATTATTCTATAGTATGTCTGAATTAATTCCTGCTTGAGGCGATGCAGCCAAATCAGATGAAATTATTCCATAGTATGTCTGAATTAATTCCTACTTGAGGTGACTCTCAAATTTTGAAGTATTTTTACATTGATCTAGAGCAATCCCTCTCAAAGCACAAACATATGGGAACAGCCCATCTTATCCAATCTGTCTGTCCTTCCAGAATCAACCTATATCCTTGGACTATGATTCAAACTCACCTAATGTTCTGTATTGCAAAAGCTTTACATGGGCTGATATGTATTGAAGCGTAACAGAAATCCAAAAGGAGCAGAGTGAGGCATGTGAGTTACTCAAACCTTTACTCACATATGTATTTCTCCAATATTTTCCTTCTTTTGTTATTTTTACATATTGTTATTGTCCCCATTTGACTCTGTCTCAGAACCAAGGACACATTCAGGTAACAGCAACTTTTACTCTGGTGGCACCCAAAGCTCTGAACAGATCAGGCACCACCTGAGTATGAAAAATGGTAGATCTTGCAGGGGATAAATATTCAGTCTCTATTTAAAAGGAGCAGAAAGCAGCATCACATGTTTTTCTGCTTGAAAGACTCTCCCAGACTTTTAACTTAGTCTCCCAAATGACTTAGCTAGATGTTTCTGAAACCCTTTTCATAGCTTTACTATGGAAGCTGCTCTGGGAGTGGCTGCACATTCAGCCTGGGAGGGCTATCAGCAACCCCCAGGATGGGACTCACGATCAAAAAAATACATAAGGATGTTTTTACACACTGTTTTTAACCAGTGTGCAAAAATTTGACTTGCTCGTATTTGTTTTTTTTTCAGAAATCCACAAGCACTTCACATTTTTAAACAAACTCCTACACACAAAAGGATTTCCAGGCTCTGAAGTTACCTGGTGGCACAGGAGAGCAGGGACAAACCAAGATGTAGGCAAAACCCATTATTGCTGTCATCTATGCATTTTTTAACAGAGAGGAGGAGGCACAAAAACCTTAGGGATGCCACCTAGATGTGTCTTAACTACTAGACAACCAAACCAGAGATGCAGTCCTCAAACAGCAGACACAGCACTCCCTGAAAAGAACCTTGTTTTCCTTACCCCTCCTGTGAGATCAGTGGTCCTGTTTGTGCAGGAGGAAAGCCAACATGGCTGATGTGACAGCAAGTGTGTATTCCTAAATCTCTTCACCATTATAAACTTGTCCCTTGGAGCACACAGCCACTAACTTCAGCAGACCAGTGCATGAATCAAGTACCTCAGTGGAAAGTGTGTGTACACTAATGCATGTGTGGCACAGAAATGACAATAAATTAGACAAACCATGTAACCGTTTTATGGATTAATTATGAATTAGACATACTTAGAAACTTCAAATTAATCCTTTAAAATAAATAAGTATGACAAACAATCAAGCCAGCTCCCTGCACACTGGGCAAGTGTGGCTGATTTATTTACCTACCTGTTACAACACCTTAATGGATCTGAATTCCCTTCTCTCCTATGGCTTGAGTGACAACTGACTAATAGGATTACAGGCTCTGTTCCAATAATACAGCTCAGCTACATGCCAGCAAAAAATGACAGCCTAAACCTGAATTACATGGCCTGGGAATCCATCCAATTATTAACTAAAGTAACTGTTATTACCTAACCTAATCAAAGGAGAAGCAGCTGTTAATCTTTGGTGGCCTGCAGTGTA